TATGGATACGGACACTACTGAAGGACGTGAAAGGTTGCATGGTTCGCGGATGGATGAAATACAAAATACCGCTAGATTTTGAATTTCTTAATGTTTTGCTTGATACAAAAGTTTTAATGTCAACGAACGAGACTTTTGTATGTGATTACATAATGTAGGAAACAGAACACTGATATCTAAAAATAATGGCAACAATGTTATTCACATTACCAACAAATGTGCGAGGTACTGATCGGGTTCTGATTACTGTATCGTTGTCTGTTGAAAACGTATGAGTAGTAATTTGATTTATTTTTATTATTTTTATTTAATCTCATGGTTTTATAAGATTTTTTTAAAATGTCGCAGAGTATTAGACCAGCTTTCGCTGTAGTAAATAATGTCGATGTGGTGTCGCATACATTCGGCTCTATAATAATGCCGCAAATATTAACGTTGTAAGATATTTAATGATATCTTCATATTTACGCATTTCATGGACACTTTTCTAGTTATTTCATGTGAAGTGTTGGATATATTACTAGTAGGGAGAGAGTGCATTGCTGTTGCCCAAGATAATGAAAGAACTGTTAGAGTATACTGAAATAAAAACTGAAATCTTGCTTAGTTGAAAATTGACCAGGTTGACATTCATGCAGTTCATAGCGATTAAATTATGCACAATCCCTTTTACTTTTAAATGATTGGTACTGTGATTATACATAATTGAAATACGTTTCCATCCGTGACATGGCGTAAATGGCGTCGTAACTTAATTCCGGCCGGGAAGGACTTTATTAAATAAGAACTAATACTGTAGTGTTTAATTCAGAAGAAAATATTCTGAATGCAGACCGGATATAGCTTTTTCTTCATAGAGCTATACGGAGTTGAATGCTCCTTCTGTTCGGGGTAACTGTGGGGAACACAACTCGTAAGGACAACACAACACAACACAACACAACACAACACTACCAGACAGAGGTTGGAGGCGGGACTCGAACCCGAGATCCTTCCATCCGAGATCGTCACTGCACTCCTGCCTTATCGATCTCGGCTACTCGGATCGGCAAAACTTTTAATTAAATTTGTTTAACTGAAACTGATAAAAGCTTCGAAATCCATGCGCCTTCACTGCTTAGGAATCCTGCGAATACAAGTCAGTGTTTCCTGACTTATCACTTCGTTTGAAGGATCGTTTTGACGAATAAGGCGATGTTTTCCCTTCTAATTGATCTCGAAATGCAATGTAAATTAGATCTCAATGTGCAAATGAGCTGCCCCTGAGGAGTTTGCATAATTAAGCTCGTAATACCAGTAACGATGGCCATGGAGCTGCGACCACCACAGTGGCCATGTCACCTACATCCACTCGCGAACTGCAGCAATGTCAGGTTCGAAATGGGATCGTCGGAGGCGCCTTCACTCGCCGGCAGAGTAGGGATGCGACATTGATTTGGACGTTTTCAAAATATATACTAATATTTGTATGAAATCAATGTATTTAACATCGATTTTTTGAAGCCGATGTATTTTTATCATTGTATGTTTTGTATTCGACGTTTCTAGTGTTTACTATATTTTAAACGACACTAGCTTAACCGCTAGGTCAAATTCAGCCGCTGTCTGGAGAAGAATTGTTGCGGCGGTTGCTCTGATCAGTAGTTTCCCGGGTTTTTCCTTATCAATATAAGGCGAATCCCGGAGCAGTACCCCAACAAACGGGTCACGAACCGCGCGCGATCTTTCCTCTTCCATGGCATATTTGCTTCTCCCGGCTGAGGCGGTTCCACAACCTGAATTGAACTAAAATTAACACTAAATTGAATATTGGTTAGACCAATGTTACCAAGGGTGGAAAATTAAATAAAATCCAGTTTTTGTTAATAAAGATTATATTCATTTTGTATTAATGAACCGGATAATCCAAGAGTCGTTAAGTGTCCTGATGATTTTTAGGCTTTTTGTGAGTTAAATCTCAATTAAAATTGTTAAACATCACCTCCAAATGAAATCCTCCACCCCGTGTAAACTTGAATGCTTAATAATCCAGTTTTAAAAACATGTGTGGTTTGGGGTCGATATTTTAATTTTGAACATCGACGTATTGTTGGGGATGTCGCATTCCTAAGGCAAAGTTCTCAGCTGGCTAGTCCACTAAACTCTTGAGAGGAGGGTGGGGGTATCCATGGCAAAAGGGAAATGTCCATTTTTGCGAGCGAAAATTATTGACTGTACTTAAATTATGGTGATTTATTGATAACACTTGCTCTGTTCAGTGTAAACCGCACGTACGAGCCGCTTCTATTAGTAACGTATGTCACAGAATTCTTTCGGAAATACGGCATTTAAAGCAATGAGCAATCAGTGCTTTCACTTGTGCTTGGGCTTCTTAACCACGTAACGTAGCTTAACCACGTAACGTAGTCTGATATTTTGGCATTTGGTTATGAAACTATTTAGTTTCCTTTCCATTTACTTTCATGACACGATTGATCTCCCCTTGACGTTTCTGCGCTTCAGTCCTGCAGAGGTTTTACATTCACTACGCCCCCACATCTGTCAGAAGACCAGAGCTTGTCCCGGCTGGGGCGATGCCACGCTGGCGGGAGAATCTGGTTAGGGAATAGCCCGCAAACCGGCATGAAGATCGGCGCCGGATCTTGTCGAGTGGAATAACACCGCCACCTCCCGTGACAAGCACTACACTTTCGGGACTAAAACTCGGGAGTCCGAAAACTTGAAATAATCAATTAGTCAATTTGAAGAGGTGTTGTCTTTCCTGAAGATAAGCCACTGCATTGGGACTGTGTCGCCTTTGGGCCCTTAGGCATATGTGTGGAGGGGCAATGGCATAGGATTCATGCCTCCCTCCCTCAAAATAGTCGAAATAAGAGTTATTTTTAGTGAAGAACGCAAATCTGAAATTCATTTGAACGATCAATATTAGAATAATATGTCGTCCACTGTGTCAGTGAACGCTATTCGTAGCAGTTGTGATGCAGATGTGTTCAGTAAATGTAAACACATTTTTACCACGAGAATAAGATGAAAATGTTTGTAATTTTTATGATCTACTCTTTCTTGTACGGCGAGATGATACTGGAGCTACCCGCAAGTATACATCTTTGCAATCTTTGATCTAAGTGTGATAAGCGATAACGCCGCAGTGAATACCTCGGATCATTAACTGTAAATGGGACATACCTATGAACGCTAGTGCAGCGACGAATTCTTGTTCCGTCAAAGTCGTCGCGGGAGAGTTAAGAACAACTTCAGATATGTTTTGGCAGTGCCAACAGCTACAACACGCGAGCACGTGGTTGCGATAAAAAGTCGAGTCGTGCAAACCTCAATGGTTTTTCTTTCTAACAAACTAATTTTTCTGTGTGGCTGGAGACTGCTGATGCACGGGTCTTGCGATTTAGGGAAGTCTCCTGACAATTGTTTTCCGCAATTCATCCCATTATGAATTGACGAAATGTACCGTTGTAACTCGGCCTACAAATTATCATTATTTACTTTATATTATTATTATGATTATAATTATTATTATTTATTTGTATATCGGCCATTTCTGACTGCTACACAATTAACGTGTGAAACTATGGAAAATAGCTTTTCGGCTGTACCCCTTAGGGCCGGTTTCACCAAACAGAGTAAGAGTTTACACTGGAGTAAATCATGTTTACTCGAGAGTAACTTCTTGGAGCGTTTCACCAACACTTTACTCGAGTGTAAATCGCTTGCACGAGTAACTTACTCGCTTTCAAGAGTAACTTTACACTGCAAAAATCCGTTGGGTAAAGTACGGAGTAAATTCAGTTTTCAACGTGCATGTGCCTCCGAAGTGTTGTTACGGCTCGACGATTACGAATGATAGTATATGAAGACGATTCCAGCAAAGATTCGGAATATTATCCACTAGTGCGAAGACAGAGGGTGAGAGAGAATGGTTTGGTTTTAATTATGACGATCGAGATTTTTTCACGAGGTTATGTTTGACCAAAATCAGCTTCATCAGATACATTGTAGAGATACTTGTAGAGAACTTG